TGAATCCTCTCACCCACCCCCCTATGGCTCTGGCCTGTACCCCAGTTCTTCTATGCATAAATAAATAAATCTTTTAAAAAATTCTATTTCCCTGTGTTTCCTACAAAATGCTTATTGGTTGAGTTAAAACTTTTAAATTGTTTATTGGGCCTGTAAAAAGTTGAGTTTCTTGTTGAAACTAATTAACCTGGTAAAAAATATAAAGTGGAAATACAACTTTTTTTTTTAAGATTTTCTTTATTTATACAAGAACTGGGGTACAGCTCAGAGGCATGGGAGTGTGAGAGAATTCACCAGAGACAGAGTTGGGAGCAGAACAGGCAGACGGACTGAAGACACTGCTAAGGGGAGCAGCAGGCGAGAGAGGAGAGGTCTGCCATGCCATGTAGGTATCTCCCTGGCCAGCCAGGAATCGAACCTGCACTGCAGAGGCTGCGAACAGCTTCACAGCACAGCACTCAACCAGCTATGCCGCCGGGGAGGCCCAAGAAATACAAATTTTGAGGTAAATTTCAAACCTCAGATTTTGATAAAAGTCTAAGAACAGGCAAACTTGTAAAAAAAAATCTTAATTACCTCTTCTCCTGTCCCCAGGGGAAAGTTTTTTGTCTTAAGAATGTTCTTGGCCTCAGTGAGAAGATCCCTTCCCATTGACTGTGCAATCTTCCGGAACATCAGATATAAAGACTTGATGCCCTTGAGGCTGCTGTATGCTGACTTGATGAACATCAACAAGCCCTCAGGACACCACAGACTCTGTTGTGGCTTGTTGTGAGACCATTCTGTGTAACTCCTATTTCTTTTAGTGCAACCTCTCCTGGGAAGAGGTTCAAAGACAACCTCATGGTGTGTTCCATAATAACCTTGGATGTGATGTCATGGACCTTAGAGACAAACTATCACAACAATTGGCACAATTACAACACAAAGCACAAAATGCCACACTGGCACATTTAAACAACATTACCCATTGGCTAAATCCAACAAAACTGGTTCTCCGGTCTCAATGTTAGAGGTCTCAATTTGGATTTTGTTTGGTATAGTTTTATTACTTTTGCTGATTTTCTTGTCATTTTAAAAGCCCTGTGCTGCCTACACCAGAGAACTCTGTGTTGAAGCTCTGCTGACCTCCCTGTAACTTTCCCAGTACCAGCAGTTATCTGTTGTTCACTAATAGCAAGCTGGTAGTTTTATGTTCCTTGATTTTATTACCAACGACACAAGCCCATGTTAAGTGGACCCATGTTATGAATGCCCCAGTTTTTCAAGTCATAAGTTGGATTGGCCCAGAACCACCCATAGGCACTAATGTTTCCTCTGCTCTAGGTACCAGAGACACCCGGTGATGTGACTGTGTTCCCTGTCCACAGCCTGCCTGCAACCTGGACTATTCACTTACTAAATGATCCACTTTGTTTGATGTCTAGTACAGACCAGACTATGTATCGATCTCCATGTGGCACTCCCATTTCTTCTAATGGAAATATCCTATTAATGATATTCCCCCTATGCTTGTTTTTCTTTAAATAAAATTTAAAAAAGGGGGACATGTGGGTCCCCCGCTAGACTTAAGCAGCCCACTAGGCCACCATTATTGTCACCTGCAGTTCTGCACTCCTATACAAAGGTCAGAACCACCCAGTCAATCAATCATCACAAAATCTTACAAGGTGCCTTTCAAATCAACCAAGAGCAGATAGCTTGGTCACCCTGGGAAGGGCGTGCATCACAAGGTAAAACCCGGAACCCCTGGGGGCTGAGGACCCGTGTATGCCAAGGGACGCCAGAAGCTGATCAGTGGACGCCTTGTTGATAAGCACTGAACCATGGCCAGGGCCTGGGGTCTGGTTTCGATGACAATACTTGGTCTTTGAGCAGATAAGAATCATCTGGTCAGCAAACTCATGTCCCCCGCAAAGCCCTAGATGACAACAGCACATTCTTTAGTTTCACCGTCTTTTTCTCCTTGTCCTCCTGCACCATGTAACTGATGCTGTGTGATTATTCGATCAGTAAAAAGGCCAGGATCTTGCTTGTTCCACAGTGTCCTGCATTGTGCAGCTGGCTCCATGCCTCCCCTTATCAGTGAGGTGCTGTTGATGCAAAACTTATGGGTGAGTGTGAGTGCCCCTCGTCTGCCCTGCATTTGCTGTGGCTCCCGCATGATCCAGGCACAAATTGTCTTTATTTCCACAGGACCTGCTACCGCAGAGAGTGCTGGGTCCCAGGGCTCACATAACTTTAAAGTACTGGGTTGTTGGAGAAGTCTGCACACGTACGTTTGTAGCAGACGGAACTAGACAACAGGTCATGAGTTCCGACAGCCCAATATGGTTAATGATTTGAATTTATCTGTTAATTGCCTGTTCATTTTCTTTGTTCATCTTTCTCTTTAAAATAAACCACAGGGCAGCATTCTGTCTGCCCACCTGTGCTTCCTTTCACCAAGTCTCTCCTGCAGGGCAGCAGTTTGACTTCTCTTCACTGACCTCCCTCAGGGGAGGCAGGTCTCAAGGGTGCCCGCCTGCAACCATGCAGGCCTCTCTCAGCAAACCTGTTCCTTCGTGGTCAGCTCTTCCTGCCCGCTTGTGTCTATGCAAGTGTCCTTTAATGTCCTATCCCTTTTCTAATAAACCTGCTCTTTAAATATAAAAAAAAATAAAATAAAATAGAACACAGATGGAGACCAGCCATGAGAATTCCCTAAGCAGACCAGGCAACTTTAGTCAGACAGCAAAGCTGACAAGAGCTTATTTCGCAAGGCTAGCTTGACCTGGGTCACTTCTTGCTGGCGCCTCTGGAATCATAAGCAAAGGTTGGGCTGTTTCCCAAGGTTGGTATGAGGAAACCTGGACCAATTCCCTACCATTTGGGCAAACTGTAGTTTTATAACCAATTGCTGAAGAATAAAGAGTGTGGCCGCCCACTCTAAGGTGCCTTGTAGCTCTGCCCAGAGCTCCTGGGCCTGGTTCCAGGCTTTGAGCTGAGCACTCTGGGTTGTGAAATACCTTTGTTTGGTACACAATACACTTTTACTAAATGTTGCTTCAGTGACTCATTGGCTTTACTTCTGCTGTTTAGAGCTCTAAGTGCACATAGTTGCCTCTGGGTGTGACCTTTCTGAAGCCACAGTGGGGCCACGGGCCTGCCTTTCTTCAGTGGCTTCAAGAGTCTCTGCTGCTTAGGGCAGACTTCTGGAAGTGCTCCTAGATTTTCCTCATGGTCAGCATCCCTGCCCCTCTTTCAAGATACTGGGCTTGAGGTGGAACTTCTCCAGCACCAGGCACTGCTGCCTGCCGGCCACCCCGTGGGTGACCTCCAGGTCTGGCTGCCCTTTGCTTTGGTGTGAGTTGGGCCCTGGGCAAGCGCCCCTAGTACCACAGAAGCTCAGACAGAGTCAGTACATTGTGCAGGCCCGGCTCCTGTCAGGGATGCCTTGGCTGGGCAACCTCGGAGTGTCCTTAAGCCCCACCCCTTTTTAGATGGTTTACTCCTGAACACAGGTGGTGTCACGTCTAAGTGTAACATCGTGAAAGCAGGCAAAGGAATAGATAAAGCCAAACTGAAAAACTATTCTGAAAAATGGATTGTAGAACTGGGGCCCAGAGGAGGTGGGACAGGCACCAGTAGGCCAGGGGCCAGGAGCTCTGTGGCAGGCATACTTGTGGGGGTCCTGCACCCCCAAAGCACAAACAATGATTAAACCAAGATTGCCTCAGTGTAAACGAATAGCTTGCTCTCACCTGACAAACTGGCCATCCCTGGAGTCCCAGGATGGCAGAACATGAAATGCTTTCAAATCGCCAATGTCTCGGAAATGGGGCACTCCCGTGGACAGACATGGCCCCACCACCCAGCAGTGCACTGGGGACACCCCAGGGGCAGGTGTCCAGTATGGGGGCCTGGAGTGTGAGTGGCCTGCAGCCTGCCGGCTCCCCCAGGATCCCCACACAGCCCTGTTCCAAAGGCTCCAGGCTGACCCTCTGTGGGGAGTGTGAGCTCGGCCAATGCTGCCCTGTGAGCGGGGTCGAGGATGCCTGGCTGGTGCCGCTGCGCTGGGTGTGCCCGGTGCCCAGCCTGGCCCAAGACATGGAGTCTGGTCTCCAGAGAACGTCTGTGCTGGGCTTGGCTGGCTTTGGGGACTGTGTCACTTTGCTTGATTCTCTCATCTGAGGAGGAAATAATTCTGTGAAACAGATACTGTTGCCCTCCATGGACGTGAGGTAGGAGCACACAGATGAAGGGCTTGTCCGGGATTAGCCATGAGCGGGTCTGTGTCCAGGCAGCTGCAGAGGCAGCAAGGAACACTCCCTCAGCTGGGTCATGTCCGAGCTTCCAGTCTGGACTGTGGCCAGTAAGTCCTCAGCCCAAACTGCCCCTCCCCTGGGGGGGTCACGGGGATGCAGAGGACACCTCGCTGCTGACCCAATGAGCGGTCACCCTCAGGCCCTGCAAAGGGAGGAGTCTGTTCCTTGAATTTCCAAAGCAACTGAACAGTTTCCCCTCCTGTTTTCTGCAGGAACCAGCATTTCCTCCTGTGACCAGGCCGCAGGCCCTTTAGCCTGGAGCACCTGCAGTTTCTCCATCTGCCAATTGGCCAGTCTTGGCAGTGAGCCACAGGGGGCAGCGGAACTACGTGCGGATGGACAGCAGCGTCTAGCCTGAGCCTGGTGTGGTTGCCCATGTGGAAAATGGGGCTTAGAACATACAATCCAGTCAAGCTCCTCAAGTGGGCGATTATCTGAGTTCTCTGAGATAGTCAGATATTCGCCTCCCTCTGAGAAGGAAGGCGAGGGCATGGTGGGAGGCACCACTGGCTTTGAAAGCCGCCCCCCAGGGCGAAACACTGAGCAGGCCTGGCCTTCAGCCCTCTCCGGCACTGGCCAGCACCGGGGTATCCTTCTCAGGGCAAGCTGGGGCGTGCAGCTGAGTGGCCAGGCTTCCCATGCGGCTGTTCCAGACTCTCTGCTGTTTTACAACATTAAGGGGCCTCACTGCACTGATCAAAGATCCCCTCATTTCTGTCTCAGTCCAGGCAATGTCCCCGTAGGATTTTTCCTTCCAGATGCAAAGGGCACATTATAATGTTGAGAGAGAATAAATGTTTCTGCCGACTTTTCAGATGCATTTTAATCTTAAGATGTAGTGCAGAAGGACAGTTAGCCCGGGGAGCGGCTTCTGCCCCAAGGAAAGGGGGCGAGGGTGGCCCTGAATGTAGCTGCCAAGCCCGCAGGCGCGTCTATCCCTCTCCCAAGCTGCGCTATGATTCCTGTTCCTTCTGCTGACACCTTATAGCAGCTGCTGGCTCTGTGACTAGACGGGTCTACTGTTTCCAGGAGAGGAGAGTTTTACTGGCAGTGAAACAGTCTCACATTGTTCTGGGAGCTTCGGCATAAACTCAGAGCATGTCAGTTTGCTTTTATTTGTTTAATTGGTTTCACACAATCTCTTCTGAACTTTGTGTTCACATTCTGTCTGCAGTATGTGACCCCCACTACCCCATGGCCCTGCCGCCCTCCTGGAGGCTCTGAGGCCTCTCCAGAGGCAGGTGCCTCTCGCTCACGAGCGGGGAATGACACAGAGCTTGTAGGGGCGTGGGATCTTGCCAAACCCGATGGCGTCAGGGCTGAGGTCGATGTCCTGCGGGTCTGTGAGCGACTTTAGGCTAAAGTGCTGCAGGATGGCGGACAGGAACAGGAACAGCTCCATGCGGGCCAGGCCTTCGCCCACACACACCCGCTTTCCTGGAAGGACGGCAAGGGGGTGAGCTGGGCCTGCAGGCCAAGGTGGCCGGGCCCGGTGGGGGAGCTGTGGGAAATGGCCGTCCTAGAGCCCAGCTGGCCTGTCTGCCCGCTGGCAGGACGCAGACAGTGGATCCCCGTTTCAGGCGTGTTTGCGCCCGGGTACCAGGAGTCAGCAGCATGGACCTGGCGAGGCAGGACCAGGGCCTCTGTCCAGTGCCCACCCTGATGTCCTGCCGGGAAGGAGGGTGTGGCCAGAAGCCAGGGTGTCCAGTCATGGGCTTGCTCAGCACCCAGAGGCCTGGGCAGCAGCCCAAGGTAGAGAGACACTGAGGAAGGTCTGAAGGCCTGTGATGACCCCAGGTAGCCGAAGATGAGATTCGGTTTAGTGACCTTTGTTTACAATTATGGAGAATTAGATAATGTAGCTCTGAAAGATTTTCAGTGTCCTATTAAATACTTCAAGACTTTTATGACTGGATGAAACAGCCACTATATGAAAAAAAATGTACCCGCAACACCTCATTCCCAGGTCTCCTGGGGACTGACCTCTCTAACCTCTGAAGAACACCGGGGTGGCCGCAGGCAGAGTGAGGAGCACTGCGGCCCACAAGGGGGGGGGGAACGGTGCCAGCCGCACTCACCTGCAGAGAAGGCCTTGAAATAGTCACTGTACTTGAATTTCCCGTTTTCGTTCAGAAAGTGCTCGGGCTTAAAGCTTTCTGGGTCAGGGAACTCTTTGCTGTCGTACAGGAGAGAGTCCAGCGTCGGGATCACCATTGTGCCCTGGGGGGATGGAGGCGGATGGGCTCCAAGCAGGGCCTCAGGTCTTCAGCCCAGATGCCCCGGAGGAGGCGGGCTGGACTTCCTTATATAGGACAGGTCTCAGCCGAAGCAGTGGGAGGGCCCGCGGCCAACTCAGCAGCCCTTTCCCCAGACTCCCTCCCTCTCTGTGGTGTCCGCCTAAGGCCGCAGCCCACCCTCCAGGGCATCCAGCACAGGGCTCCAGTCTGACCTTGGGAATGACGTAGCCCCTGAACATGGTGTCCCGGATGGCTTCGTGGGGCAGGTTGGAGGGTACGAGGTCTATGAACCGCTGAATCTCATGCACTACCGCGTCCATGTAGGGCATCTCCAGCCTGTCCTTGACGGCTGGGACACGGCTTGGCCCAATCACCCTGTCAATTTCTTCATGAAGCTTCTCTGGCAAAAAGTAAATGTAACAGACATAGCAGACAGAGGGTCGGCTCTCGGCTATCCAGTGCCTGCCGGCCCGCAGAGTCCAGGGCCCTCTGGGCAGCCTGTGGCTGGTTCCTGCACGAGGCCAGCAGGGGCTGCCTCTGTGAGGGGCTTTCTAAGGCACTTCTGGCCTCTACTATCTTGGTGGTCACAGCCCATCCAGGCGCTGTTTTCATGCCAAGAAGAGTGGCAGCAAAGGGGCACGGAGGCTTTCCAGCTGGAGGAATGGCTGTGGCCCCCCTCCCAGGCTGGTGCCACCCCAGGGGGACGGCAGGATGGACCCTTGGGGGCAGAGCTCTGAGGCCCTCTTCCCGCTGAGGGACCAGCCCTGGGCAGGCGCCAGCCACTTTGGCTGGACAGCTCCTGTGGGCCTTTTGGGGCACAGCAGAGGGCAGCGCCTAGGCAAAAATCGGAGGCACGTGTAACAGCAATAAGGGTCGTGTGGTGACATTTAACACCCAGTGAGTACCACACACATGCGTCAGGGACGGCAGGGCTGGCAGACTTCTCTGTTAGCCATGAGAGTGGGCATGGGTGCCAGCACTCAACTGTGGCCTGTCAGCCAGGAGGAGGCAGCCCGGCTGGCCCCAGCACCGCCCAGTCCCACAAAGGGCCCCACTCAGGGGCTGCCACTTGGCCTTTGTCCTCCTGTCAACCAGAAACACAGCGGTTTTGGATTCGGGGCAACGAGGTCTGACCCTCGAGGGGCACATGCCCCGTCCCGGGAAACTGCGCCTGCTCCCTCCCCCCCCCCCCATGGTGGCCACTACGGCCTCGGGTGCGGCCGCCCTCCATCACCACACGTGAGGTGCCAGGGGGCCAGGCTGTTGCAGGCAGCAGCGGGTCTGGCGGGGTCTCCAGGTGCCCTGGCCAGGGCGCCCAGAGAGAGGGGAGGCCCTGGTCTGGGTGCTGGTTGCGGCCCGGGCCCTGCCTCCCTGTCCTCCCTTTTACCTGGACTTGGCACTGACAGACCTGGGAGCACTTGGGGCCACCTCATGGCCTCTACGTGGCCCATGTGCTGTTGCCAGCTCATGCCCCTCTGCAGGTGCACCCCAGAAGCGAAGCCTTCCTCCCCATCTGGCCCATATGCTGGGGAAGAGCTCCCAGAAAGGTACCAAGAGGATCTGGGACAGCCTTGGGGTGCTTCCCCCAGGATTTCCTTCTCCCGATCCCCGTTCTTCCAGTCAGGTCAGGTGGGCTGGGGGGCTCCACCCACACCTCACCAGCCCCCTCCCTGCCCGGAGGCCAGGCTTACTCAGGCCACTCACTCACGGAGGAGCCTGCTCTCCCTTGGGGCCACAGCTCCTTCCCTGCAATCAGGGGTGTGTCCGAGGGATGCAGAGGGCTCAGGACCACCCTCCACAACACACTTCCTCCCAAAGGGTCCATCTGAGACCCCCGGCTTGCTCCCCCATGGAGACGACCAGCGCCCGCCCGCCCTGCAGACGGAGTCGGGCCCTGAGTGCTCGGCTGGCTCTCCAGGCACAACAGCCACGTGCTGTATCCTGGCAGCCCAATGTACCTTCAATCTCTGGGTACTTCATGAGGATCAGGAGCCCATAGCGCAGGGTGGTGCTGGTGGTCTCTGTCCCCGCGAAGAAGAGGTCGGCCACGGTCACGGCGATGCTGTCCAGGGTGTAGGCCAGCTCCCCACCCGGCTCTCCCTGCAAGGGTCAGGACAGACGCCCACAGGGCATCCTCGGAGTGAGGAACACGTCTCCCTCCACTCCCCAGCTACCCTGCCAGTTCTCGGGGGGCAGGGCGCGGCTTCCTGAGTGGCCACACACGCAGGACCTCCGGATAAGTGGGGCCTCTGCTAACAAGTCAAAACCCGCAGGGTTGATCTCCCACCCGACCTGCTGGGCATCCAGGAGCCTTGTGCCTGCCAGGGCAGGGACCCCAGCCAGAGGCTCTCAGACCGCCGGACAGTCGTCCCAGAGAGTCAGGCGTGGCATTCACATGAACATGGCAGTTCAGAGTCACGGCGACCACAAGGTGAGGTGTCACAGATGTGGCACCCTGAGGAACGGGGATCCCGAGGACCTGTCAGCTGGATGGTGCCATAGGGGCTGGGACCCCTTGCAATCATGCACAATTGGGGTTACACGTGCTGACGTGCTGGGCACCCCCAGGTTAGACACAGTCATCACAGTTGGATAAGCACTGTTTGGAGGTGCCCGTGGGCGGTGCCCACTCACCCCACCCGACAGCCCCAGCCAGCTGGGGTCCTGGCTTCCCTGGGAAAGGCCATCTTGTTGCCAGCGTGGCCGGGACTCAGCCTGCATGTGGCCGCTGGCTGCATCTGGACAGGCGCGGGGGCTGGGCGCAGGCCGTGTGGACGCCACATGCAGGCAGGTATGGATCTGGGACGCACACCCCCACCCTCCCACGGTGGCCAGGCGAGCCTGGGGCATGTGCTGCGGGGCACCTTGCCCATCTCCGTGAGAAGGCAGTCGGTGAAGTCCCGGGGGCAGTTGGGGTCCAGCGTCTCCTGGTGCTCCTTCACCCTTTCCAGGACGTAGTCTTTTACTTCTGCCACATTTCTCATCACTTTCCTATGGCTTCCCGGCAGGTATTGCATAACACTTGAAAAATGATTATAAACCTAGAGAAGGGGGGGGAATTAGCTCAATAAATACACACACACATAATTTTTCTGGATGCAACACAATTTCGGGCACTGGGCTAATAACGTTCTTCAGACTTGAATTGCAGTGGCCACAGTGCCTGTGTGGCCATCTGGGCCAGGCACCCCCGGCACCAGCTGCGCAGGGCCAGGGAAGGGCCTCAGCCCACAGCTCCAGGAGGGCGCCAGGCCCGAACCACACGCTCGCTCCCCAGGAGGCCCCCAGGCCCGGCACCCCCTCTCCTGCCCGGGCGCTGAGCGCTGGGGGGCCGGCGGGGCGCAGGCCTCACCTGCAGCCAGGGCGTGCTGAGCAGGTAGAAGTTCTCGTTGAACAGTTGCATGAGCCGCAGGCTGGTCTTGTCTCCGTAGTCGAAGTGCTTGCGGAAGAGGATGTCGGCGATAACGTTGCAGGGCCCACAGCCGATCACGAAGGTGGGGTCGAAGGGCTGGCCTGGGGACAGAAGGGGTTCGCTGGCACCAGGGGCAGGGAGGCCGCCCCTTCTGGCGCCCGAGAGGACCCCGCGGCTGGCCGCTGCCCACTGCCAGTGACAGCCCCGGTTGGGGCTCCCTGACTTTCCAGTTACTTCAGGCGCAGGGAAGCCCGACTGTGGGGTGCTGGGGCGGGGCCTGCACTCACCTCGGGTCTCCCGCAGGGCCTGCAGCAGGAAGTGGGCCTCCTTCTGGATGCGCGCCTCATTGCCCTCCTTCCCCATGCCGTAGTCGCGCAGGGTGCTCAGGGCGAACCGCCGGGTGTCCTTCCAGGTCGGTCCGTTGTTGAAGATAACGCCTGAGGGGAAGGAACCAGCCGAGACGCTGCCACCCGCGCCCGGTGGGGAGAAGGCACCAGGCAGTGGGGGGCTCTGGTGGGGAGGGGGTGAGCAGGCAGGCACAGGGTGGGGGGGCCGGGCAGGAGGGGGGTGCTGGGCACCGGGGGCACGGGGGGCAGGGTGGGGCCCAGCAGGCGGGGGGGCGGGGGGCAGGCGGGGCGGGGTACCCGGTGCTGACTGCCTCCCTCTCCCCATGGTGGGGGGCTGGGAGGGAAGGAAGAGCACCCGACTGCCCCAGAGGAACCTCGCTTCTCTTTCCTGTCTACCGACAAAATTGTTGACAAGCCATCCGCTGTCGTGGGTCTTTAGTGCTCAACTCCAAAGGCTTGAACTACTGAAGCCTTAGCGCACAGCAGTGGCTTCGCAGAGAGCCCCCACTTACATACGGAGGCCAGGGCTCCCCTGCACAGCTCTTCCAAACGGGGAGCCCTCCAGCAACCCTTCCCAGGGCCGGGCTGGGCAGGTGGCTGCAGGCAGGATACTGGCTGGGCACCCCAGCACCAGATGCTGGGAGGTCACCTACGCACAGTTCCCATGGCCAGCACAAAACACAAGGGCACTGAGCTTGGGGACCAAGGTTCAGGCCTATCTGTGCTGAGTCTCAGATTCCCTTGGGGTCACCTGCGGGGCTGGGGTGACAGCCCAAGGGCATCCTACAGGGGGGAGGTTCCAGACTCAGAGCTTCTGTGGGATCACCTGACAACCCCTGGGGGAGACCTAAGCCAGCCCCGATGTCCTGAACCTGAGGCCAGAGAGGTGGGGGAAGCAGGAAGGAGCGAGCACGGGGACCCCACCTGAAGGGTTAGTGACCCCAGAGGGCTTGGTGGTTGAGGTGGGAGGAGTGGAGAAGCAGATAATTTTTAAATGTCACTGGAAGAATTCTGCAGCAAGGGAAAGGTGGATGATAAGGAGAGAGCCAGGGATGGAGACAGAGAGGGAGGCAGAGGGCGGAGACTCCAGAGGGCTAGGGAGGCCTGGATGGCAAAGGCTTCTCTGTGGGCGAAGGGCCCGGGACGCAGGTGCTGGTGAGCGGCCCTGGGCTCAGCGGTGTGCTGACGAGGGGCAGTAGGTCTTCATTTCTGGGGTCCAGAGGCACCCCAAGTTCAGGGCTGGCTAATTTTGGGGGGCAGCTCTGGGACGAATGAGACATGAAAAATAGGACTCTGGTGGCCCTGGGCAGGAGGCAGCAGCCCCAGCGTCCCCGTGGACTCAGGGTGCCCAGCCCGGCCCGGCTGCGGTCCCAGGTCAGGACGCGGTCCACGGTAGCACCAAGGGCCCCTGGCCCGGGATGGCCCTCCTTGACCACAGGACGCTGCTCTCACAGCTGCCCCGCAGTGACTCTCCTCTGGGTTAAAGACAAAGCCGTAGCTGCTCCATTTTGCTTTCGCCAACACAAAGAAGCAAGCCCAAACCCAAGTCTTTGGATTTCTCCAAAACAGAAGCCAACGCCACCGGGCATGGCCTAAAATCATGGGCTGGGAGCAAGGCCGGGAGCAAGGCCAGGACCCGGCACGTGGGCGCTGACACTCCGCACCGGGCCACTGGCCTCGGCGGCTCATCACCAGGACTGATGCAGGAGGGGCTGGGCCCCGAGTTTCACGGGGTGCAAGGGACACTGTGCTGTTTGTTTCTGACCTACTTTGGAGGAAGCAGGAAGGATGAGCAGGGCGGGAGGGGGCCGCCCACGTCAGGCCAGGCAGCTCGGCCCTGCAGCCACAAGTGCCGTCCTGAGGAGCTGAGCGGGACTGCAGGGCTTCCCCGACCCCGCAACCTGTGACTTCCCGCCACCACTGCCGCCTGGCAGGGCCGGCTGCGATCTCACCTCTGTCCTTGTGCTCGTGGAACACGACGACCTCGCCTCTGCCGGAGAACTCGTTCTTGTGGGTGAGCAGCACTTCCTTGACGGCCTGGTAGCCATGCAGCACCACCACACGGCGCGGGCCCAGGTACACGGTGAACACCGGCCCGTAGCGCTCGGCCAGCTGGGGGGGACACACGGGTGAGGCCCGGGCCCGGGGGCCAGGGCTGAATTTCCTCTCCACTGGAAGCGCTCCGGGGGGGCCGGGGGCGTCCCCAGGAGCTGGCCTCTGCGTGGGCATGGCCCTGGGGCTCGCCTGCCATCACTCCCGTGGACGATGCCTCCCACCCCTCCTCCGAGGCCCCCCGCCCATCTGCCCCGTCACCCCACTGTCTGCTGTCCCGCCCAGGTCTGAGACCCCAGGTGCCCAGCAGGGTCCTGGCAGCCCACCCTGGGGGTGCCGATGCCTGCCAGCATCCACGCCCAGCCGCTCCTTCTCCGGCCTGTCGCATCCTCAGACCCCGGCCCATTCACGGCTGACAGCGGTGGCTTGAGGCAGGGTCAGGGGCTGCCCAGGGCCTCTCGTGCACCCTGCCCTGTGGCATCGTAAGCTCAGAGGGCGCCGCCCGTCCTTGCCCGGCCCCTGCTCCAGCCCTTCCTGAGATGCAGCTCCCACCGGAGCAGGGGCCGCTGGCCCGGGCGCTACCAGCTAGGCGGGGGCTGCCCGGCCTGGGCGCTGCTGCCCGCTGCCCGCCGGCCCCAGAGGGGCCTGAGCGGCGGTGAGCGCGCGAGCCACACCTCGTCCCGGTGCTGGCCCCGCGGGCAGCAGAGTTTCCCTTACTTTGCCTAGAGACTTGGGGATGTTCTTGAGGTCGATGTGGAAGAGGTTCCCGAGGACGGGCAGCGGGAACGGCCCGGGGGGCAGCCTCCAGCCGCTGCAGATCTGCCTCCAGACGGACACGAGCAGCAGGCTGGCCACCCAGGCCAGCAGCGCGACCGTCACGCCCAGCGCGGCCATGGCTCGGCTGCCGGCGCGGCGGCCTCGGGCTTTAAGGCCGCGCCGGGGGCGGGTGCGGGGCCGGCCAATGCGCGCGGGCCGGGCTGTTGACCCGCGCTGGCGGCGCCTCAGAGGACCCGCCGCCCCTCAGAAGCCCGGCCAGGCCCCCGCCCCGGGCCCCCCGCGCCCCCCCGCGCCCCCCCGCCCCTCCACGCCCCTCCACGCCCCCAGCCCCGCGGCCCCCCCGCCCGCCCCCCCGGCCCCCCCCCCCCCGAGTCCCCCCAGCCCCGCCCGCTCGTCCCCCGCCCGCCCCGGGTGCCCCGCCCGCCAGCCTCCCCCGCCCCCCCCCGCCCGGGCCCCCAACCCCCAGCCCCGCCCGCTGGCGCTTCCCGGCCCCCGCCCCGGCCCCGGCGCCCCCTGCCGGCCGCGCGGAGTCGCCGAGCCGGAGGCCCCGCCCGCCCGCCCGGGCAGAGTCTCCCGCGTTTCCTTATTTTCCATCGCCCGTTTTTATTTACTTTTATTTCACAGACAGCAGACAGCAGCGACCCCCACCCCAGGAGCGGGCCCCACGGAGTGCCCGGCCCGCCGCGCCCCCCCCCCCGCCTGCTCCCTGCGGGGTCCGGGCCGCGCCGCCCCCCGCCCCCCTCGCCCGCCCCGCGCCCCCCCCGGTCCGGCCCGCGCCCCCCACCCCCGCCCCCCGCCTGCTCCCTGCGGGGTCCGGGCCGCGCCGCCCCCCGCCCCCCTCGCCCGCCCCGCGCCCCCCACCCCCGCCCGGCCCGCACCCCTCCGCCTGCTCCCTGCGGGGTCCGGGCCGCGCCGCCCCCCGCCCCGCCCCGCTCCGCTGCTGCTCTCGGGCACCGCGTCCCCCCGTGCCCGGCTCCCGCCGTGACGTCCCGCGTTTCCGCCCCCTCGGGGCTCGCGGCGGAGCCAGGTCCGGCCTGGCCCGGCCCGAGGCGGGGGCGTCCGGGTCGCCGCGTCTCCCCGCTGTTCGGGGGTTTCCAGCTTCACCCGCTCGCGCCTGGGGCGGCGGCAACCGGGGCCCGGAGCTGTGGGATCCGCGCGTCCGCGCCCTTCGGTGGGTCCGGGGCGGCCCGCGCCTCGCACGCCAGCCCCGTGGTCGGCAGCTGAGGCCCCCGACGGCGCCCCGCGCCCGGCCGCCCGCGCCCCCCGCAGCACAGCGGGGTCCCGCCCCGTCCTCGCCGCCGGCCTCGCGGGCAGGCGCGTCTCGTCTCGGCGGGCAGCAGAACAGTGAAGCTGGACCGGGCCGCCGCCCCGCGCAAAGTCGGCTCCAAACGGGTCAGAGAACGGGACGTGACGCCCGAAACCGTAAGATGCGCGGAAGCAAACAGGCGGGACGCTGGAGACGCTTCCCAGGAACAGCTGTGCGGGCGCATCCCGGAGCAGAGGCGCTCCATGAGGAGATAAACGCCCGGACCGGCGGCTGCAGCCACGTCAGACATTAACCAACGCAGACGCCCCTGACCCGGAGAAAGTCTCGGCGCCGCGTCAGCCGACAAGGCCCGGATCACAAGGACGGCAGAGCCGCCGGGCTCCACGAGACAGAGGGAACAGTCCAGTCGGGAAACGGGCGAAGAACTGAAGAGACGTTTCTCCAAAGACGACATCAAATTCTCTTTCAAAAGCGCACGCGGCCTCGCCGGCCTGCGCGGGGAGCGGCCCCAGGCGGCTGAGCCTGAGGAGCCCCCCCCCACACACAGGCGACTCCCCGGCGTGTTCGTCCTCTCACACAGGTGATGCATCTTTGGACGCCGCGGAGAACGGGAGAAGAGTGAACACCACCTTCTGCACTTTCCCTGTCACACAGAGAAGTCGAGCGCCAGCACCCCCGCCCCCGGCCCTGCTCTCCCTGGCCCCGGGCGCCGCCTCGGGTGCTGTCCTGGCAGGCTCTGCCGCCCCAGGGGCGCTGACCTCTCTCGGCCCGGCTCCCGCCTCTGGTCCAGGTCCTGTGGATCGGGTAACCCACAAACTGGTTGGACCGCAGGTCCGGCTCAGCTGCGCCCCTTGCCCTTCCCTCCCCGGGGCGCACAGCCAACGCCCCAGGACAGAGGCCGAGCCATCTGGACCCCCATCTCTTCTCCGCAGCATCAGGCCGCGTGGGGCGGGGGCGGCAGGGCAGGCCCTGGCTTGAATTCCAGCCGCGATGCGGACAGCTGTGTGAGGCGAACGGACAGCTGTGTGCGGCGGGGCGGCCTCCCACGGGGGTGCTGGTCACGCCTGCACTTTCACCCCCAGCCCGCGTTCCACCACAGAAACCCAACACTCACTGGTTACTTGAGAGCCACACAAGATCAAGTTCGCTGACTGCTCTGCAAACCCGTGGGGTCTGGAGACGTTGTGGGTGCGGCGGACAGCACCCGGGCAGCTCCGATGCCCGAGATGTTGCCGTGTGGCCTCTCTGTGGCCTTCCCCGGCCCCACCCTGCAGGTCCCCTTGGTACCCCTGTGCGTCTTGTTTCTTGTCAGGCTTGCAGTCCTGCGGCGTGCAGTCTCCTGGCTTCTCTCACCTAGGAGACGCCTTCCAGGCGCGCCGGGCCGTCCTGTGTGCAGGCGATCGCCCCCTCATTGCTGAGGCCGCTCCCCGCAAGGAGATGGCATGCGCCCCCGGCGCCCTGTCTCACGGGCTGGGCTCCCATTGGTGCTCGTGAACGAAGCCACCTCGACGCCTGCTCGTGGCTCCTGCTCGGATCCAAGCTGACTCACTGCCTGCTGACCCGGGCGGTGGCTGAGGGCTGACGGGTGAGCTGTGCCGTGTGAAATGCCAGGCTGTCTCCCAAAGCAACTGAGGCATTTTGCGTTCCCATCAGGAATAATGAGAGCTCTTGCTCCAAATTTACATCCTGCTTTTTCTTTAAAACTGTTATTTACAGACAACCCTCTCTGTCGGGTGCCGGGCGCTGACCCGTGGCAGGAACAGCCCTGCAAGGTCCAGTGCCCGGTGGAGGCGGGAGAGAAGCTTCAGATGAGCTGAATGACAAACCCGCAGAGTCGGAGCCGCAGCCGAGTCCGCCGCGGCGGGGACCCACGGGCCGGGGCTGTGGGGTGCTCCTGGCGGGGGTGGGGCGCCCAGGGACCTGTCTCAAGGTTCTCATTTTTTCAATTTCTAACAAATGAAGATTGAAGAACTTTTCACTTCCTCTAGCTTTATTCGCTGTCATCCAAGCGCAGACTGTAAGCGCGCAGCGCACAGTCACTTTGTTTCCAAGGGCATACCTGATTTTTGTAATTGGCACCGAACAGACAAAAACGTTTATTTTGTGTTTAAAAATAGGCTTCATGATTACAGCATTCAGCTCTTTGCCCTTCTTGCTTGTTTTCTGTACTAAATCCACCCCGTTCTGCAGGACTGTTCTGAGGCCCGCTGCAGTCCGGCTGCCCCCTCCGGCCAGGGCCGCCCGGGCGCGGTGGCCTCAGTCGCTCGTCTGTGAGGGCAGCAGCGCCCTCCTCGGACACCGCACCCGGGCTGCAGAGGCCTCTCGCGGGGCACGCCCGGGAGGACGGGTCGCGCCTCAGGAGCCAGCGCACTGGGCCCGGGGGTGGGGGGGGGCGGGGGGGATAACCCTTCCCCTCCCTCCCTCCCTCTCAGTTTTGCTCTTTCTGCCGCAAGCACAGAGCGCGAGGACAGCGCCTGCACAGCGGCCGGGTCTGGCCTCCACCCGCCGGCGTCGTCCCTGCCGCGCCCACCTGTCTCCACTGGACTCTGCTGTCCGCTCCCCTCCCCAGGGGCAGCCGCAGCGCGAGGGGTGGCCGTTGCCAGCAGGTGCGGTTCCGCGGGACACGCCCGGGCATGTCCCTGACTGGACAGTACCTGCAGACGTCACTGGCCACGCGCAGGTGGGAGGTGGGCACAGCCGGGGCAGCTGAGCCGGCCCCGGGGCAGCCTTCAGTCCCCTGCGTTGTCCTTGGCCTCACAGAGCTCTGGCCTTTCTGCTGCTGGTACAGGCCGCAGGATTGAATTGTTAACTTAAAGTGGATGCCGAGTCTTCAGTATCTACTTGTTTCTTTGTGACAGCTGGCGGTGGGGTCTCCTCACTGTCACCCCAGCGGGAGACGGCAAGAAGAGAAGTAGCAGTGGGCATGAGAGCGCGACGTCCATCCGCTGGCCCTTGTCTGTCCAGCCAGGCCGGTCCCCGGCAAGACAGAAAGTCTATGAAGCCATTGCTTGGGTGGCCCGAAGCGGGCAGGGGACAGCAGGGCCCGGAGCTCGTGGGGGCCTGAGGCACCTCCCTCCGGCGCTAGTGTCATGGGTGTTAAGACTTTCCCCGAGTGAAGGCCGGGCTGTGCCTTCCTGCCCTTTGGCAGGCAGAGATAAAGCAGCACCCACGACAACCAGCACAGGCCGGGAGTCCCTGGACACACAAGACTGCAGCAGGGAAGGGCAGGGCCCAGCAGGGTCGTCCCTCACCCCCCACCCTAGAAGCTCCGTCTCCCTTGGGCACCCCCACCACGCTCAGCTCCGGGAGCAGGGCCGCTGCCCCCTCACAGTGCCCGCAGCCCTCGGACACTGCATGCCCACCTTTGACGCTCCTGGCAGTGGAGGAGACGATGCGGTGATGAGCCCCCTGTTGTCAGAAGGGACATGTGGGGTCGCCCGTGTGTGCAGAGGGTGACTTAGGTGAGAACGACGCCGCTGGCCCCTGACAGCACCGGACAGTGCCTGGCCCCTCCAGCCAGGGGGCATGACCTGCAACGCTTTGCCTCTAACCCTGCCCCCCTACAGGGCGCCCCCTGTAGGACTCTGGGCACCAGGTGATGGCAGCGGCTCCTGTTCAATGCATTTAGAGCTTGCCCCTGCCCCCACCTCCGCGCCACGCCTGACGAGACAAGAAACCTGGGGCTCCGCTTAGGTGTGGACACTTGGGCCCCACGCCGTGGGTGAGCCTCACAGCCCAGCTTGGCACAGCCCCAGGCAGGCTGCTGCCCTGGCCCAAGCCCGCCAGGGCACGGGGGGCGGGGCAGCGAGCCCAGGGCGGGCCAATAGCGACAGCCCTCCTGACACCTACT